ACACTTTGTTTATTTTAAAGTCAGTTTCTTTATGGATTATGTGCCAGCACTTTGATCATTTATAATGTCTTTTCTTGCTTTTGAGACCAGAATAACCATTTTCAAGAAGGTGTATGTGTCTGAGACCCATTCTTCAGTGCATTTTCACAATGCATTCCCTCATGTTAGTTACTTCAGGTGTAAAAATAACTTCTGCATGTTTACATCAGTATCCCAAGATCATGCCATGCATTCTTGACTGTTAGGTGGCCTTAATGAAAGGTTAAACGTGGGGCAGGCATGTGCATTCTCCCAGCTTGGTCCCAATATTTCAAGAGTGGCCAAATCCATTCTTTTAAACAAAAAAGGTTCATGTGCAGTCACACACAGCTCCAGAACAAAGCAGTCAATTATTCCAAGATAACAAGGTGTAGAGCTGGATGAACACAGCAGGCCAAGCAGCATCAGAGGAGCAGGAAAGCTGATGTTTCGGGCCAAGACCATCTTCAGAAATGGGGGAGGGGAAGGGGGTTCTGAAATAAATAGGGAGAGAGGGGGAGGCGGATAGAAAATGGATAGAGGAGAAGATAGGTGGAGAGGAGACAGACAGGTCAAAGAGGCGGGGATGGAGCCAGTAAAGGTGAGTGTAGGTGGGGAGCTAGGGAGGGGATAGGTCAGTCCAGGGAGGACGGACAGGTCAGGGGGGCGGGATGAGGCTAGTAGGTAGGAGATGGGGGTGGGGCTTGAGGTGGGAGGAGGAGATAGGTGGGAGGAAGGACAGGTTAGGGAGGCGGAGACAAGCTGGGCCGGTTTTGGGATGCAGTAGGGGGAGGGGAGATTTTGAAGCTTGTGAAGTCCACATTGATACCATTGGGCTGCAGGGTTCCCAAGCAGAATATGAGGTGCTGTTCCTGCAACCTTCGGGTGGCATTGTTGTGGCACTGCAGGAGGCCCAGGATGGACATGTCGTCTGAGGAATGGGAGGGGGAGTTGAAATGGTTCGCGACTTGGAGGTGCAGTTGTTTAGTGCGAACCGAGTGTAGGTGTTCCACAAAGCGGTCCCCAAGCCTTCGCTTGGTTTCCCCGATGTAGAGGAGGCCACAACGGGAACAGCGGATACAGTACACCACATTAGCAGATGTGCAGGTGAACATCTGCTTGATGTGGAAAGTCTTTTTGGGGCCCGGGATGGGGGTGAGGGGGGAGGTGTAGGGGCAGGTGTAGCACTTCCTGCGGTTGCAAGGAAAAGTGCCGGGTGTGGTGGGGCTGGAGGGGAGTGTGGAGCCGACAAGGGAGTCCCGGAGAGAGTAGTCCCTCCGGAAGACAGATAAGGGTGGGGAGGGAAAAATGTCTTTGGTGGTGGGGTCAGATTGCAGATGGCAGAAGTGTCGGAGGATGATGCATTGGATCCGGAGGTTGGTGGGGTGGTACGTGAGGACGAGGGGGATTCTGTTTTGGTTGTTACTGCGGCGAGGGGGTGTGAGGAATGAGTTGCGGGAACTGCGGGAGACACGATCGAGGGCGTTGTCAACCACTGAGGGGGGGATGTTGCGGTCCTTGAAAAACGAGGACATCTGAGATGTTCAGGAGTGGAATGCCTCATCCTGGGAGCAGATGTCGCGGAGGCAAAGGAATTGGGAATAGGGGATGGCATTTTTGCAGGAAGGTGGGTGGGAGGAGGTGTATTCTAGGTAGCTGTGGGAGTCAGTGGGCTTGAAATGGATATCGGTTTCCAGGTTCTCCTGCAGTGCCACAATGATGCCACCTGAAGGTTGCAGGAACAGCACCTCCTATTCCGCTTGTGAACCTTGCAGCCCAATGGTATCAATGTGGACTTCACAAGCTTCAAAATCTCCCCTCCCCCTACTGCAACCCAAAACCAGCCCAGCTTGTCCCCGCCTCCCTAACTTGTCCTTCCTCCCAACTATCCCCTCCTCCCACCTCAAGCCCCACCCCCATATCCTACCTACTAGCCTCATCCCGCCCCCTTGACCTGTCTGTCCTCCCTGGACTGACCTATCCCCTCCCTAGCTCCCCACCTACACTCGCCTTTACTGGCTCCATCCCCGCCTCTTTGACCTGTCTGTCTCCTCTCCACCTATCTTCTCCTCTATCCATCTTCTGTCCGTCTCCCCCTCTCTCCCTATTTATTTCAGAACTCCCTTCGCCTCCGCCATTTCTGAAGAAGGGTCTAGGCCCGAAACATCAGCTTTCCTGCTCCTCTGATGCTGCTTGGCCTGCTGTGTTCATCCAGCTCTATACCTTGTTATCTCAGATTCTCCAGCATCTGCAGTTCCTACTATCCCAGTCAATTATTCCCTTGACTTGATGTAGCTCATTTAACTACACTTAAAGTGAGTTATTCCCATTCAATGTTGTGTTATTTTTCTCTCTTTTTATATCTTCTTCTAAGGGGGCTTTTACTCCCATTCTATCTAATTCATGAGTCTTAGAACTTTTACTGTCCAATTAAAGTATCCTTAAAACAGAAATCAACCACTCCTATTTGATCCCAAACACTGCGTAACACTTCCTGCATGTTTGTGTTTTTTCTCACATTTGGGGTATCTCAGGTTTCCAAAAGTCACGCATTAAGTTCTCTCTGAAAAAGAGTCATTAGACTAGAAACATTGACTCTTCTTTCTCTCCACAGATGCTGCCAGAGCTGCTGAATTTTTCCAGCTGTATCTGTTTTTGTTTTGATTCCATTGTGCATTTCCCATCTCAAAATTATTCCAGATACAAACCAATATGTTCCCTTTAAGTTTTTTGAAGACTTTTTGCTTCCCTAGAAACTGCTTGTGTGTGTTCATCCTTGCTCTTGACTGAATATTTAATCCTTAACTAATGACAGCGAATTCGTTCAACTCAGTTCTGCCCAGCCCCACCACTTTTTGGCAACTCTTGTATGGGTGCGGCTATTTTAATGAAATTATCACGGAGATCCTAAATAATTAAATAATCCCATGATCTGTCTTGCACCTCATAGATCTACAGGACTTGGCAGTCTCTCTATACCCTCCTTTCAAATGTGGGGAGCTTATTGTTTATGCTGTAATATCTCATAGCCCAAATATTAAACTTTCCATTTTCCTAGCTGAGTTTTTTCCCAGGTTGACCTTAAACTCAGTTTCTTCCAGCTGCTCAAAGTAAAGCTCCATATGTTCTTTAACATTTCCCAAGGCGATGAAAAGATTGAAAACAAATGCTGGCAATCACTGGGTCAGACAGCATTCATGGAGAGAGAGCAAGACAATGTTTTGAGTTTGGATGATTCTTCATCAGAGCTGAAGTGGAGTGTGGAGGGGACAGCATTTATGTTATAGTTGGTGGGGGTAGTGGGTGTAGGATGCTGATTGAGAAAAGATGTCTATAGTTCTGATTAAGTGATTGGAATGTGAGAATGGCAGAACAATTGTATGTCTCCAGCCAGACTTGAAAGACTTGAAAGTAACTGGGATGATAACAAGCTAAAAGAAAAGGAAGAAATGGTCACAATTTGAAGGTGTTGAACTTAATATTAAGTCCAGAAGGCTGTAAAGTGCCTAGTCTGAAGATGAAGATGTTGTTCCTCCATTTGCACTGTGATTCACTGGAACACCACAGCATGCCGAGAACAAACATGTGGGCATACAAGCAGGATATTGTGTTAAAATGACAGTCTACAGGAAGGTTAGGGTCCTGCTTGCACACAGACCAATGAAAAGATTGTCCACTGTTCTGTTCCTTAAACTTCATTTAAATTTACCATTGAGTGCTTGAAGTAGCAACTTCTATAAAGTTATTTATCAATTCTAATTTCAGAAACAATTATGTCCAGGCTTCGTGGTTTCAAATCGTGCTTTTACATTGGAGTCACAAGAGATCAGAGTCAGTTTAGATTCTCCCATTTCCAAGCACTTTGTCTCAGAATGGAACAGATGGCCTGACTAGTCAAAGCCAAGACTCTGAAAGGCAAAGCCTTCAATCCAAAGTTTATGTCTGTAAATTTAGAAATGCCCCAAACTACACTGACCAATATGGTGTAATGGAATGCTGTAGAATGGTGTATGATGAAATTAAAAGAAAGCTGTCAACAGAAAGAGTTTACTCTGTCTCTGCTAATCTGAGAAGGGACATGGGGACCCAAGTCACAAAGTGACATTATGTCACAATTTTCTGTACTATGCTTTAAGAAAATCCCTACAATTTCACTTAGAAAATGTCTTTTCAACTTCTTTTTGTCTTCACTTTGCTCAAGCATTCTAATTGTCTTAAAACCTGTTCTTTGTTTTTTTATACAACCAACTTTAAAGAATAATACAAGCATATGGAATACAGTGTTCTTTGTCTTCCCTTTTTACCTTTTTCTCCAAATTATGCGTTCAGATTTGATGTCATATTTTCATCGTTAGAAAGGCTCCACATACACTGCACTGTAGGAGGCTATATTATCTTTATTTTGTAAAAGGCACCAAATATTTGAGTAAATATTGATTGTTGATATATTTCATAATTATATTCATAATTAAATATTTTGGCCCTATATTTCACAGGTGTTCATTTGGTTTCCCAATTTAAGTTTTGCAGGAGTTTAGTAGAAGCCTCAGGAAAGTGACAACAACCAAACTATCTTCCTGAGGTATACCTCAGTCTCCCACCAAAGCTACGGTGGGAGACCAGAAGAACTTGCACAGACTTTTTTGTGATCTTTGTTTGTAATGACCCAATTCTGTTACAAGTCCTGTGCATAGGTATCATTGTATTCTGTGCAATACAATTTGAGACATAGCATTCTACCTGTGACTATTCGAGAAGACCTACTCTCCGATATCGCTTACACAGTAGCATTTGTGAAGTGATAAAATTTGGATATCTCCCTTTTGGGCAAGGAATGCTTCCTGATGTGAGATAATTTTGAATGACCTATGTAGTTTTTGTTTTAAAAGTCAGTTTTGCCCATTGCTGTATTTCCATTGTCTATTATTTGGCTCTATCAGTCTGTTCCTTGTATGAAAGTCATGTTTATGACATGTTTTCAGGATAACAGCAGAAGACAAAAGCAACTCCTTTGTGAAAAATTTGATTTTCTGTACGCCATTCTAGAAGAGAGGAAAAAAGAAATGCTTCAATGTATTACGCGTGAACAGGAGGAGAAAGTACAGTATGTGCGATCTCTGATGAGACAACATGGGGATCATTTGGAGGGAGCCAGCAAACTTGTGGAAACAGCTCTGCAGTTTACAGAGGAACCTCAGATGGCAGTGTTCCTGCAGGTCTGTGTATCACTAGTTTTTTGTATCTCTTTAAGGATTGTACTATTGTGGTTATTTCTGCTTTTATTTACAATTTGAGTCATTTTATACATTTCTTCTGTTCACAGAATACAAAGCAGCTGATTAAAAAGTAAGTCAATTTCAAGAGGTATGCAGTTAAAAAACAAATTTTATATCTACTATAATGGTGGTCCGACAGGATTATTTCAGTGAAAACTTTGATTAAAGTTTTTGGGAAGATTTGGAGCTTGGGTTGTGGATGAGGTTGTAGACATACTCGCCGAACTGGTGGGTTTGGATGCAAACGTTTCGTCACCCTGATAGGTAACATCGTCAGTGCGCCTCCAGTGCAGCGTCAGTCCCACTTGTTATTTATACGCCTCCATTTGCAGGGGTGGTTGGTATTACTTCTGGTTCTGTTTCTCAGTGGTGTGTACACAGGGTCTAATTCAATGTGTTTGTTGATGGAGTTCTGGTTAGAATACCAGGCCTCCAGGAATTCTCTGGCATGTCTCTGTTTGGCTTGTGTGATTATAGATGTGTTGTCCCAGTCGAATTCGTGTCCCTCGTTGTCCGTGTGTGGTGAGACAAGTGGGAATTGGTCATGTCTCTTGGTGGCTAGATGGTGCTCGTGTATCCGTATTGTCAGTTTTCTTCCGGTTTGGCCTATGTAGTGTTTCCCACGGTCTTTGCATGGTATTTTGTATATTACACTGGTTTTTCTGGTTTTGGGTATGGGATCCTTTATGTTAATCAGTAGCTGTTGTAAGGTGGTTGGCTGTTTGGGGGCTACCCTGATACCTAGGGTCTCAGTAGTCTTGTGGTCATCTCTGAAATGTTCTTGATGTATGGTTGGGTGATTAGTGAGTTGATCGTGTTGTGTCTTCCTGCTGTGGTCTGTCTCAGAGGTAATGGCGTATTGTGCTTTTCAGGTATCCATTCCTTTTGAAGACTCTGTATAAGTGTTCCTGTTCTGCTTTGCATAGTTCTGGGTTGCTGCAATGTGTAGAACGCATTGTGTCCAGGAAGGGTAGTTAGTTGGTTGTTCTCTTCTTTTGTGAATTTTATTCCAGTAAGGATGTTGTTTAGGTTTCAGTGGGTTAGTTTTCTGTGTTTAATAATCTCGAAGGTGCCATTTACATATCGGACCCAAAGTTTGAGTTGTGTAGTGGAGAGCGCTGTCCATTCTAACGTTTGCATTACTGCTTCTGCAATCAGACCAGATGTTGGGGATCCCATTGGTGTTCCGTAGATTTGTTTATATATGTTGTCGTTGAAGGTGAAGTGGGTTGTGAAACACAATCTAGTAGTTTTATGGTGGTGCCTTTATTAATGTTGTCAGTGTCCTGGGTTGCCTGCATACTTGATTCATCCAGCAGTGTGGCAATTGTTTCTTTGGCTAGGTCGATATTTATGGATGTAAATAGTCCTGTTATATCGAAGGATGTAATCATCTCGTCCCCTTCTATACTGGTGTCCTTGGTGATGTTGAGGAAATCTTGAGATGAGTGGATGGAGTGGGGAGTGTTGTCCACTGAACATTTCAATTTCTGTTGTAGTTCTTTGGTAAGTCTATGTGTTGGTGTGCCTAGTAATGATACAATGGGTATGAGGGAGATCCCCGGTTTGTATACCTTGGGGAATCTGTAGAATTGGGGAGTGTTGAATCCTTCTGGCTTCAGTTTTTGGTAGTCTGTCTTGCTGATCTCTCCTGAGTTGTGTTATTTCTTCAGGGTCATTGTAATCCAGTTCCCTAACTGTGGTGTCAGGTCTATCACCATCTGTTGGTAGGTGCTGGTCTCTGCTAGTAGTGCGTTAGCTTTCTCGATGTACTAGGTTCTGTTCAGGATTACTATGTTCCTGTCTTTCTTGAGTCTTTCCAGGGCTTTCTTCTATTCTGTGTTGAATGTGTTCCACTTTCCTTTTTTGTCAGGTCGTGTGGTGTCTTCCTGTTGTGGACTGTCTCGGAGGTAATGACGGATTATGCTTTTCAGGTATCCATTCCTTTTGAAGTCTCTGTATAGGTACTCCTGTTTTGCTTTGCGTTGTTCCGGGTTGCTGCAATGTGTTGTGGCTCGTTTAAATAGTATCTTGATGCAGCTCCGTTTGTGAGCATTAGTGTAATTGAATATCTGGTCTTTCTGTGTGGTCTTTCTATATACGCTAGTCTGGAGTTGCCCGTTATTTTTACGTTCCACCATTATGTCCAGGAAGGGCAGTTGGTTGTTGTTCTCCTCTTCTTTTGTGAATTTTCTCCCAGTAAGGATGTTATTTATCTGTCGGTGGGTTTCTTCTAGTTTTGTGCGTTTAATAATCACAAAGATGTTGTCTACATATCGGACCCAAAGTTTGGGTTGTATAGTGGGGAGCACTGTCCATTCTAACCTTTGCATAACTTGCGACAACATATACAAACAAATCAACGGAACATCAATGGAATCCCCAATATCAGGACTGATTGTAGAAGCAGTAATGCAAAGGGTAGAACAGACAGTGCTCCCAACTATACAACCCAAACTTTGGGTCCGATATATAAATGACACCTTTGTGATTATCAAACACAGAAAACTAGAAGAAACCCACTGACACAAAAACATCCTTACTGGAATAAAATTCACGAATGAAGAAGAGAACAACAACCATCTACCCTTCCTGGACATAATGGTAGAACGCAAAAACAACAGGGAACTCCAGACTAGCGTATATAGAAAGACCACACATAAGGACCAGATACTCAATTACACTAGCAACCACCCCAAAGCCCACAAACAGAGCTGCATCAGAACACTATTTAAACGTGTCACAACACATTACAGCATCCCAGAACTACGCAAAGCAGAACAGGAACACTTGTACAGAGTCTTCAAAAGGAATGGATACTTGAAAAGCACAATTCGCTGTTACCTCTGAGACAGACCACAACAGGAAGACACAACACGATCAACTCACTAATCACCCAACCATACATCACGAAATTTCAGAGATGACCACAAGACTACTGAGACCCTAAGGTATCAGGGTAGCCCACAAACTGACAGCCACCCTGCCACAGCTACTGACAAACATAAAGGATCCCATACCCAAAATCAGCAAAACCCGTATAATATACAAAATACCATGCAAAGACCGTGAGAAGCACTACATAGGCCAAACTGGAAGAAAACTGACAATACGGATGCATGAACACCAACTAGCTACCAAGAGATACGACCAATTCGTGTCATACCACACAAGGACGACGAGGGACACAAATTCGACTGGGACAACACATCTTTAATCGCATAAGCCAAACAGAGACGCACCAGGGAATTCCTGGAGGCCTGGTATTCAAACCAGAGCTCCATCAACAAGCACGTTGAATTAGACCCTATGTACACACCACTGAGAAACAGAACCAGAAGTAATACCAACCACCCCAGCCATCCAAGTCATATAAATAACAAGTGGGACAGAACACCAATGCTTCACTGGAGGCGCACTGATGATATTACCTATCAGGATGACGAAGGTTTGCATCCAAACCTCCGGCTTGGTGAGCATATCTACAATAGTGATTAGCACTGCTGCCTCACAGCGCCAGGGACACAGGTTTGATTCCACCCTTGGGCGACTGTGTGGAGTTTGCACATTCTCCCTGTGTCTGCATGGGTTTTCTCCGGGTGCTCCGGTTTCCTCCCACAGTCCAAAGATGTCCAGGCCAGGTGGATTGGCCATGTTAACTTGCCCGTGGTGTTCAGGGACATGTAGATTAGGTGGGTTATAGGGGGATGGATCTGGGTAGGACGCTCTGAGGGTTGGTGTGGACTTGTTGGGCCAAAGGGCCTGTTTCCACACCGTCAGGATTTTATGATTCTATGAACCTCGAAAACCTTGATCTTTATTAATGAGGTGCCTCAAATATGGTCTTACTTATTCACTTTCACACAGTCCCTCTGTTTGTCTCATAACACAGTCTCACATATCTTTGCTTGCATTGCTCCCCTTTCATTGGGATGTGAATTAATGAACTGCAACTTTAAAACAATACTAATGACAAGGGGAATTTTGTCTCCTGTTCATAGTCTCTGAGATGGAGAGTGTTCATTTCCTCCCACACAAGATGTATGCATTGATCCTTGTCACTAGGAAGCAGGTGTTTCTTCTTCAAATGGTAACCATTGTCCTTAAAGTCATCATAGGAGTATTTATTTACACTAACCATGTTAACTAATAGGATAAGCACAACATAGCACCTGTAACCATATTTAAATAAGCATTTAGAAAGGTTTCAATGCTGCAACTTGCTGCTCTTGGAGACAGAAGAGACAGCTTACTATACTGAATAGAATCTTAAAATACCTCTCACAGTCTTTGTTGATATAACTACACCCAAATTAAAACATTTCTCTACATCAATACCTAATTTGTATGGATGTTGTTAAAAAGGAAGAGTGATATTGGCAAATACACATAAACAAAACAAATACAATACTGTGCCTTTCAGGATGTTGCAATAAACATTGAGGGCATATACACATAATCAGTATTTTCCTATGATCCAAATCTGCGCTGTCATTAGCATAATAATTGAAGTAACACATACAAATATTGAAGTTTTCATTAATTGTCCCTCCCACACCAGTGCTGCATTAATGTTTCCTGTAGTTGTATTTTTAAAAAAGCGCATCAAAAATACATCACAACCATGTAGAGAAGTTTGAAGTTTGAAATTCATCTGCTGAATCAGAGCTCCATAGAACTGGATAATCTAACATAATCTAGTTAGAAGATAACTTCTGTCCCAGAACATGTCATATCCATGCTCAAACTGCTGTATAATGGTTCATAATATTCAAATTATAATCAGTTTTCCATTTGGCTACAGAAACTGCCTTGCTAAAAGATCTACACATTTGCTTCTAATGTGGTTGTGCTTTGAAAAGACAAGGGATGAGAACTTGTGTTCAAAAATTAGTTTAAAGTAAACAAAGAACAGCACAGCACAGGAACAGGCCCTTTGGCCCAAGAAGACTGTGCCAATACATGATGCCTTTCTAAACTAAAAAACTTTTGCCTCTCTGCGGTTCATATCCCTCTATTCCCTGCCTATTCATATATCGGTCAAGATGAATCTTAAATGTTGCTGTTTTATCCACCCCCACCAGCTCCTCTGGCAGTGCATTTCAGGCACTTACCAACTCTGTGTGAAAAATAAACTTGCCTCTTACATCTCGTCCTTTAACGCTACCCCTTTTTACCTTAGACCTATGTCTCTTATGAATTGACATTTCTACTCTGGGGAATAAGACTCCAGTTATTCATTCTATCCATGCCTCTCATAGTTTTGTAAACTTCTATCAGGCCACCATTATCCTTCGAAGTTCAAATGAAAACAAACCGAGTTTATCCAAGAGATAACACAGTGTGTAAGGGTGCCAACCCAAAACATTAACTTTCCTTCTCCTCTGATGCTGCCTGGCCTGCTGTGTTCCTCCAGCTCCACACTGTTATCTCTGACTCCAGCATCTGTAGTTCTTATTATCTCTGACCAAGTTTATCCAATCTCTCCTCATAGCTAATACCATCCAAACCAGGCAGCTTGCTGGTAGACACTTTTTGTACTCTCTCCAAAGCCTCCACATCCAGAACCATACACAATACTGCAAATGCAGCTTAACTAAAACGTTATACATGACTTGCCAATTTTTATACTCTCTGCCCCGAATGATGATGGCAAGCATGCTACATGCCTTCTTGATCACCTTATCCACCTGTGTTGCCACTTTTAGGGAATTGTGGACCTGTACACCCAATTCCCTCAATGCTGATGCTACTAAGAGTTCTACCATTTGCTGTATACTTCCCTCCTGCATTAGATCTTCCAAAATGCATCATGTTGCATTTGTCCAGATTAAACACCATATGCCATTTCTCTGCTCAAGTCTCTATATCCTGCTGTTTCCTCCAGCAATCCTCCTAACAGTCCACAGCACCCCCAAATCTTCATTGTCTTCAAACTTACTAAGCAGCCACCTATATTCCCCTCCAAATCATTTGTATGTATATATATATTACAGATAACAGGGGGTCCCAGCACAGATCCCTGCAGAGCACCACTGGTCACAGATTGGTTTTCTTATTTTTTTTCTATAAAATTAACATCTTGTGAAAATTAAAAAAATTGAATTATTAATCATAACACAGAGAAATGCTTTCTTGTGCATGCATCATTTTACCTGCAACTATGATTCCAAACTCAATGCAAGCATAATATTTCTAGGTTGAAACTTCATTAAACAAAATTGAGAAATCCTTTATTTCATCTCCAGTTAAATCACAAACGTGCTTTGGTGTGAATTTTTTTTTATTGTCTGATTCTCTTAGAGTTATTGATACCTCAAAAGCAGCTCAGTTGGAGAGAACGGAACCTGGATACGAAAACATGGATCATTTTGTGGTCAATCTTGGAAGAGCTGAACAGGTGCTACAAAGGATAAATTTCCAAACAGGTATGAAGGAAAGTTTGTGTTAAGTAAGAGGTTTTAGTACAGTTAATTAGAATAATTAGGGATCAGGGTTCATTTTATCCATTAATTGTATGGAAATCTTTGAGTGAATAAGAAGTTGTGGCAGGTTTAGAAATTCTAAATAGGCTATATGCTCATCTCCTGTGCTGATCTGAATTCTCTACAAATGGATAATGAGAATTAATGACAAATGAGTTTATCAAGTCAATTTCTTTCTTGTTTTAAAGGCATTGAGATTATTCATATCAAATTGTCTCAATTTTACTTTAGCACTAGTATCAATAAATGGGAAAATGCAAAGTGTCATCACAGATGTAAATAGTAGTGTCATAGAGTAATACAGCGTGGAAGCAGGCCCTTTGGCCCAAACTGGTCCATGCTGACCATGGTACCCACTCAGATAGTTCCAATTACCTGTTTTGGTCCATATCCCTCTAAACCCTTCCCATCCATGTACCTACCCAAATGTGTTTTAAATGTTGCTACTGTACCTGCCTCAACCGCTCTCTGGCAGCCCATTCCATATACACATCACTCTCTGCCTGCAGAAGTTGCCCCTCAGGTCCTTCTTAAATTTATCCCCTGTCACCCTAAACTTATGCCCTCTAGTTTTCCGTTCCCCATCCTTGGGAAAATTACTATATGTATTCATCCTATCTATGCCCCTCATGATTTTACACACTTCAATCAGGTCACACTTCATTCTGGTACTTTTCAAGGAATAAAGCCCTATCCTGGCCAATCTCTCCCTATAACTCAGGACTATTGGTCCTGGCAACATCTCATAAATCATCTTTGCACACTTTCAAGTTTGACCAATTCTGTACACAATACTCCAAGTGTGGCTTCACCAATGACTTATACAACTGTAACATAACATCCCAATTCTTGTACTCAGTGCCTCGACCAATGAAGACCACCATGCTAAATGCCTTCTTCACCACCCTGTCCACCTGTGATGCTGCTTTCAATGAATTATGTACGTGTATTCCAAGGTCCCTCTGTTCCACAACACTTCTCTGGACCTTACCATTTACTGTAGAAGTCCTACCTTGGTTTGACTTTCCAAAATACAACACCTCACACTTATCTGTATTGAATTGCATTTGCTAATCCTCAGGCCACTTCCCCATCTGATCACAATCCCTCTGCAATTTTTGATAACCTTCTTCACTATCAACAATAACTCCAAATTTTGTATCATCGGTGCACTTACGAATCACGCCTTATATGTTCGCATCCAGATCACTTATGTAAATAACAAATAACAAAGGTCCTAGCACCGACCCCTGTGGCACACCACCAGTCACATGCCTCCGTATTGAGAAACAACCTTCAACCATCACTGTCTGCTTCCTACCATCAAGCCAATTTTGAATCCAATTAGCTAGATTTCTCTGGATCCCATACGACCTAACTTTCATGACTAGCCTGAGTACATGAGAGTTTTTTTTGCTAGGTGGTGTTGTTTTAGCAGCAATTGACAGGAACATCAGAAAGAATCAGAAGCAAATAACTTGACAGCTTGACCATTCCTGTGCTGTTGTTTCTGCATTGCCACTACTGGTTTGCAACTTGTCCTAGAATATGATCAGGTAGCCTTTGGGGTCCTTAGTGCACTTCAGAATTGCATTACTGGAAGTGATAATACAATGTTAAAAAGAATATTTGAAATCTAGACAGAAATAATTTTTCTGGATATTTTGCAAATATGGATGTAAAGTCATGGCCAGGCTACAACTGATAGTCAACAGCTCATGCTGGTCACCGTGAAGAAAGAAAGGGAAATTACTACTTAAAAATTATCATTATTCATCAAACATAAAGTCACCATAGACTCAGAGGGCTGCTCTCTCATTAGAGAGAGATGGCTGGTGGTGAGTTCAACCTGAAAATCGGCATGCCTCAAATGAGGGATGAGATCAAGAAAGTGGGAGCTTCATGGTGATCACAGACGGTGTGAGAATTGAGCCCACGTGGTTCGTGTCATGGCATCACAAACCAGCTGTCCAGCCAACCTCCTTTAATTTGTTATTAGGGGTGTGGTCGTCACTGGCAATGTGAATATTTATTGCCCACCTTTAATTGCCCTAGAGAAGGTTGTCAAAAAGCTACCTTGATAACTGAATAACTTAGTTCAGAAGACAATACAAAACAACTACATGCAAGTCTCCAATACCGAGTAAAGGTGGCAAGTTTATTTTCCTAAATGCTGTTGATGAACTACATGAGTTTCACAACAATTTGGTAGGTACATGGCCACCATTACTATGCAAGTACATTTTAGATTTATTTAAATAACTAAATTTAAATTCCCCAGTTGCCATGTTGGAACTAATTTCTCCAAATTCTTACACAGGTCCTCAGATTTACCAGTCCCATGATATAATTTAGTCTTTGGTATCAAGGAAATTTCAAACAGCAGTAAAGTGTTTTCATCTTATAGAGAGACTTGTCAGAGGTGACACCCTATGTCACTCTCACAAGCTTTCCAACTAACTATTGCAGATCTCTTATATATGCCAAGAGTTGACGCCAGCCATTATCCATTTCTTTTGCTGGAAAATAAGAGAGATTCAAATTAAAATAATTAAAGCAATAAATATGTTAATAGATGGTCAAGATGGTGGCAGAGTAGGACGGTGCTCCTCTACTCACCAGTCCTTTTACCATTTTTTGCCTCTCCTCTTGTGGTTTCCCCTTTCTCCCACCCCTCCCCACCCCACCAACCCAGAGAGTGGAGATGCAAAACAAGCAGGCTGCGGCAGACCGGAACGAGTGGCCAAGTCCCACAGAGGATAGAAGCTAAGGGGCCGAGTCCCGCAGCGGAACCTGCACTAGCAGCATGGCCTTGTGCTCTGGGGCCTGCAGGCATGCCCTGTGAGCCCCAGAACATTGCGCCCTGGTGCAGCATGTTGGCTGTGAGTTCAGAGCAGCGCGCAGGCAGCGAGTCCTGGAGAGAGACCAGTGTGAGGGGACAATCATTACCTTAGAACTTACTTTAATACACTGTAATGTTAACCCTTTAATATTTCCCTATTTTTAACTTATTTTCAGCTCTGTAATTAAGCAACTACTTCTATTCCTCTGCTATATCCAATAATTGTACCTAGGTACTTGTACCTAAGATGTCACCATAAAAAGGCAGACATTGTAAACGTTTTTCACTGTACTCCTACAATGGAGTACACGTGACAATAAAAGGATATTATATTATATTATTGTTTTGTATTATATTGGAATAACTGACTGTCCTATAAGAGCGATTGAAACACAATTAATAAATAGCATTAACCATGTTTAAATTCATTGTTGGGGCCAGTTTTGCTGATGACATTTGTAACCCATCTTTAGCTGAGATGAGCAGGTTAGTGGGCTGCCTTCCTGACCTGCTGATGAACGACTCATGCAGATTGATGCTGTGGAAGAGCCAGAATGCCGAGCAGGAGGAATGAGGAGTCTCATCTTAAGGAAGGAGGCAGAAGCTACACATTCTACAGGATTGGCAAATCAACTGTGGGCTTTGCCATTCGATCTGAATTGACATCTAAGCTTAACTCACTTCCCAAAGAATCAAAAACTGGCTCACAATTTGAATAGTGCTTGCTAGAAATTAGTTTTTAATGCTTAACAGTTCCATGCATAAGCAATGACACAAACAAATGAGGTTAAAGAACAACATTTTCTGCAGGCTTATCAGAGGAATACCACATCAGGACAAATTTCACCTTTATTTTAAAGCTTGTGGCATTGGTAAACTCCAATGGCCATTTGTTTCTATATATATGGTGAGTTTGATTTACCAATGCAATCACAATATTCCAACAATCTGATAAACTGAAAAACAAATGGGTGCACCTAACAATTGGCACTTTTGGACAACAGTTTTGTAAAACAGAGAGACCTCAAGGAGCTCCAAAACTGCTTTAGAGGCGCCAAATGCTGGTCAATCATTAGGATTGTCATGCCCTTGCAGATACCCGAGGCACTTTGACACAAAATCAAGCCACAAAGTTAACTTTGGGATAGCTCCAACTATCCCAAAAAAAAGATTTGACATGGAGACAAAAATGTTACAAAAATTAAATGTAGAGATTGATGACATAGAATCCCTAAAGTGCAGAAAGAGGCTGTTCAGCCCATCGAGTCTGCACCAACCCTCTAAACAGCATCCCACTCAAATCCAGCCACCTACCCTATCCCTGTAACCCTGCATTTACCATGGCTCATCCACCTAGCCTGTATATCTTTTGTCTGTGGGACAAAACTGGAGCATTCGAATGGAACTCATGCAGACACAGGAGAATGTGGAAACTTCACAGAGACAGTCACCCAAGGCTGGAATTGAACCTGGGTCCCTTGTGCTGAGGCAGCAGTGCTAACCACAGAGCCACTGTGCCACATTTCAGAGCACTCTTTGTATTGACTCCTGAATATGGATGTTGCTGACTAGACCAGCATTCCTATTTCTATGCCTATTCCTACTTGCCAATATTTCTGTGGTTTGGGTTACTGCATGAAGCATTTCAAGCAGATATACTTTTGAGTGAAATTATTTAGAATGGTAATCTTGAGCTTCCTAATTTTCAAACAGATTTGTTTGATTTTGTTTGATTTTGCCTGTAAACACACCTTAGACACCACAGCAGCTGATAATGCTTGTGAATCAAATGAAGTCCCCTAAGAAGTTAGTGTTATTGATCTGAATGCATCAGGTCCAAGCTTCTTAACGAATTCCTTTTATTTTTATTGTACAGATTACCAGGGAGAAGATGAGGAAGAAGTAGAGGAAGAAGAGATAGAGGAAGGTGGAGGAGCTGAAGAGGATGGAGAAACAACTGATGGTGAGCAATTAAATATGCTAACAATTGAGTCTCCAGCTGCTTCTTCATTATATTCATCTCATTTCCAATCTTCACACCTCAAGATGCAAGAATCAGAATTTCTGGCGAAAATAAGTCAGTCTGCTTAATGAAATAGTTACATCAAATTACATGAGTTAGCTGAATATCAATACTTATTTGTTCAGTTGTCAGAATTGGAAGGACCACCAGATGAATTTTATTTAAAACCACTAAACTTGATATTTGTTGATGCAAACAAACTGCTGGAAAAGAAGAATATTACAATTATGGCCACTCATAGATTAAAATATTGAACAAAAACAACATTGTTGGAAAAGCTCAGCAGTCTGGCAGCATCTGTGAATTAAAAAAACAGATTTAACGTTTCAGGTCCGGTGACCCTTCCTCAGAACTAAAATATTGAAGCTCACTTGTTGGCTGTGGGATTTTCAAATATCTCAATACTTGACAATATTATTGAGATAGAATCATAGAATTCCTATGGAGATAGTTCCGTTAAACAAGTGATTAGCTCCTTTATACTGATCTATGCGTGTGACAAAGGCTTCTTATACTTTTAGTTTGCTATTTCATCACTGACTGCACGTGTAATGCACAAGAACCTTATTTCTTGGCAGAGAATATAGCTTATTTTGAAGTGAGTCCCTGTAGCTCTGTGATATAAGCTCTGCTGGATATTGAAAGCCTTGTAGAAACAAACAAAATGGAAGTTCAATGTCCAGCAATTAAAGGACATCATTGAGGTATGAGATCTCTTCCCCAAAATGAAGTCATTTTTAAAAAATAGATTGAGTTGGAGATGACCCAAAATAACATTTTGAGTTAACTTAAAATACTGAAGTGATATCATTGATCAATTCCATAAATTGGTCATGTGTGAAACTTTCCATTCTAATGAATTGGCACATTCGTTTGCTACAATTGTTAATTAGAGATATCCAGTTGGGGTTATTTTCTATTTTGTATATATGATTGAAAATTAATCTTCATCAGCTCAAATGTGTATATTTTCACACATTGCATACATTATCAGCAAACTGGTGTCTAGAAGGATGCTGGAGACCACATTCATCCTGCCAAAATTATTTCTTCTTGTCAAAACGGTTTGAAAAAGTCATTATTTTTCCAATATCTACATCCCCAAAGTAATGGCTAATTGAAATCAGCCACTGAAAAATTGCTAAGAAAGATCTAAAAGCATTGTAAACATTGAAAGATCTTAAAGACTAATTTGGTCAAGGGACAAGGATGTAACTTCCAGCAAAATCATTCCAGGAGACAGAGTATTTAGCTTTTGAATCCTAAGTATCTGGTAAACTTACATTGTAGTTTATCCTTTTGTATAATCTTTTAGCCATAATACAGGTGGTGGGACAAACCCATCCATAAACATAACCATTGAAAACAAAACTGCAAAATGAAAATCTTGGACAAGTAATCTAAATTGTATGTCATTTCCTTTTTCAAATCACTCCTAAAACTCTAATTGCAACTGACTGGCTCTAGTTTGCCTGCAATATTATTTGCAATTGTCTCTCTTCTGTCTTTGTAAGTGAATTACCAACTCCACTGCATTCTACTGGAACAAACCTAACATTTTGATGGGCAATGATCAGCACTAGGTATAAAATGATTATTGATGAGGAAGAGTCATTGTTGTGGTCACTAAAGTGTATTCTGATATACACTTATCCCATAGTCTGTAAACAAGTGAGAGAAATGCTGACCTCAGTTACCACATCCTCCCACAAAGTTTAACTAGAATTACCACACAAGTTTCCTGACCAATGGATCCATCTTTCAAATGATAAACACCGAAATGGATAGC